GGCAAAACTATATATTTTAAGAAAACAAAATGGTGGTCGGGTTTGGCCAACTTTTTGTATTGTGGAGATTTATTTGGCGTGAAGATCATCCTAGAATTTATGATCCATTTGGTGATGTTTTTGACCTTTTTCAGGATTGAGATTTTACGAGTTTCTTAGTTATTTGGATTGAGTATTGTTTTTATCGATCGGAAACAAAAGAGGAGTTCAAATCTTAAATTTGAAGTGATTTGGAGTAGATCTAAGCTAAATTTTGCATTAAATTTAGTAAGGACTCAAGGAAAAAGACGAAGTCAGTTTTTGTATATTGAATAATAGTATATATGTAGGTGTATAAACACCTCTTATACATTATTATACACTTTTATACACCTATATACATAATGTACATGCCTTGTATAAAAGTATATAACATTGTATAAAAGTATATATGCGTCTGTAGATGAACTTTTTCTATGATTTTCATTGCAATTCTTGTTCAATACCAATCCAAATCTCCATTAAATGACTTTAAAATTTGTAAATAACCTCCTTAGACAATTTTTAACAAGTTTAAACAACACCATTTCGAAATTTAGATCCACTTATTTAAGGTTGTTCAACAATGATGGATTACCTTAAAAATTTAATTTTTACCACCCAAATGAATTTGGTTTGTTCAAATAATTTGAGTCACAGTTATTAATTTCGAAATTAGGTTAGAAGCTTGAGGTTTCTTTAAGAAAAACTAATTGGGGATTCCAAGAACCTATTTGGAGTTGGTTGTTGAATCTTAGCCTATTGTTTTGTAAAGTTGTATGTAGGCTACATGGTTGCAATATGTGATTTCTCTTTATTAAAGGGAATCTTATGAAAATGTCCCAAATAGGTCATAACTTACTAACTTCTAGCCATTAATCATAGACTTACCAAAACTAGCAAAACACATACAAATATTGAAAACCAAATAAATAAGGATTATTTCTCTCCAAGAATTACACGCAAAAATCTTCTTCTATATTTTTAAACGTGATCAACAACATTAAATGCTAGACNATATATATATATATATATATATAAGATTCCAAAAATCTAAGCAAAAAAGAACCCTTTTTAATGGGTATGGTTGAAATTCATTGAAAACATAGATGCGTCAATACATAAAATTTGAGGAAGATTGGAGGTGATTTGGACTGATTTGGTATCAAAATTCGTAGTCAAAAACGAGTTCAAATTTATTTTTATGCGACACATGTATCACGTGTATATCTCACAGCCAGATATATAACGGATATACATGTGATACATATTTAATACATATGTGATACACGAATGATACACAGTGTGATACTTATATCATCTTTTTTCATGTTCATCTTCTATTTCGAATTTTCAATTCAAACCACCTTAAAACTCTACCAAATCATCCCAAAAATGAGATTTAAACTTATTAAGATATATACAATATATTCCAACAACGCTTTAAAAAAAATTGATACTTTTTGGCTACAAATAGCTAATTGGCTAATATTTGTAATATTTTATGAATTGACTTATTTTTATACTAACTTACTTATGGGATGACATAACTGATAATTTCTCTTTATTAAATAAGCAATTTAAATACTCATAAAAGCCCCAAAATAAAAAGTGAAAACTTCAAAAAATAAATCTTGTTCAATGAGACAAGCAGAATAATGTTGAAAGAAAGAAAAAGACCAAGCAGAATAAAGACACATTCAAAATAGAAAGTAGAAACTACTCACTCCTTAAATTCTTGTTCAACGTTACTCTCGCAATGGTAATATTAATCCCTTTGTCTCATTATTAGCTATTTCTCCTCGCAATGGTGATATTACTCATCCTAGAGATTATTCTTCATGTCATAGCAATACAGCCATTTCGATAAAGGGGAAACTTGGGGTTTCTAACAGCTTTGAGTCGATAAAGGGGAAATGTGGTTTTTCCAATAGCTTTGAAAATGTCAAGTGTTTAGATGATGCTGTTAGTGTATTCCATCAAATGGTTAGAGAACAGCCTCTTCCCTCTCTTGTCAGCTTTGCAAAATTGTTGAATACTATGGTAAATATGAAGCATTACTCTGCTGTTGTTTTCTTTTTTGGTGAAATGCATAAATTAGGAATTCCAATAGATAAATTCATCTTGAATATCGTGATTAACAGTTATTGCCTCATGCATAGTGTTTATTTGGGATTTTCTGTATTGACCATTTTCTTCAAGTATCGTATTCCATTTAGTGTTGTTACCTTTAACACCCTAATAAGGGGACTCTTCGCTGAAAATAAGATTACAGATGCAGTTGAATTGTTTAAAAAATTGGTAAGACAGAATATTTGTGAACCTGATGAAGTTATGTATGCAACTGTCATGAATGGACTTAGCAAAAGGGGTCATACTCAATAAACTTTTAGTTTGCTTCGGGTAATGGAACAAGGAAGCACTAAGCCTGATACATGCATCTATAGCATTGTTATAGATGCCCTCTGCAAAGATGGAATGCTAAATGCTGCTATCAGCCTTTTGAACAAGATGAAACAAAAAGGCATTCCTCCGAACATTGTCACATATAATTCGTTGATTGATGGTTTGTGTAAGTTTGGCCAGTGGGGAAAAGTTGGGACTTTATTCCTTGAGATGATACATGCGAATATTTATCCAGATGTGAAAACCTTCAACTCGGTGATCGATGGTCTATGCAAAGAGGGAAAGTTGAAGAGGCCGAGGAAATAATGAGATGCATGATTGGAAAAGGTGTAGAGTCTGATGGATATTGTGTAATGGATCCATAATTACCGAAGAAGATAGAGACAATTTCTATTAGTTCCAACCATGAACAATGCTAAGAACAAGGAACTAAAATAAAAGGAAAACAAGAATGGAGGGAGGTCCCAGAATGCTCCAACAAGAGCTAAGCCACAATAAAGAGAAGACTCAGTATTCGCATACTCTACTCCCTACACCCTCCTGCTATTTATAAGCCTTGTATTCTTTTTAGCTCACCAGCCTTGTCTCAACCTGGATCCCACATCACATATTGGGTTTTCCTCAATTCAGCAACTGACCCAAATATCTTAGCTTCTAACCCAATAACATAATCAGTAATGGGCCTATTCATAACATATTGCTTGCATGGTCAAATGGATAGAGCTAGGATAATATTTGATTCCATGAAAGATAAGAGAATTGAGTCTGACATTATTAGTTATCACATACTAATAAATGGATACAGTAAAAAGAAGGATTTGGAGGAGGCCATGCAATTGTGTCATGAAGTTTCTCGAAATGGATCCAAACCTAGTATTTTTACCTACAATACCATCTTGCATGGTCTGCTTGAAGTTGGAAGAATCAGCACCGAACGAAAGTTCTTTGCTGAAATGATATCTGCAGGCTGCAAATCTGATTTATGTACTCATCGTATCTTGATTGGTGGTTATTTTAAGAATGGACTCGTTGAAGAAGCTATTTCACTCTTTCATAAGTTGGAATGTAAGAGAGAAGATACTGATACTGACCTTTACAATGTCGTCATCGATGGATTGTGCAAAAATAGAAAGTTTAACAAAGCTCGTGTTGTTTTTGAGAAGCTCTGCGTAATAGGTTTACATCCTAACGTGATAACATACAATATAATGATTAATGGATTTTGTCGAAAAGGGTTGTTAGATCAAGCTAAACACATGCTAAAAAAAATGGAAGAGAATGGTTGTTTTCCAAACAACGCAACTTACAATGTTATTCTGCAAGGATTTCTTAGAAGTAATAGAATTAATGAAACGAAGGTTTTCTTAAAAGAAATGACCGGGAAGAGCATCTCATTTGATGCAACTACAACAAAGTTATTGATATATGTTATAGCGAAGGATCCTTCCTTACTTAACATGATATCAGAGTTTCACCCCGATAATAAGAAGTGAATATTTTTCACTTGGTTTTCTGTCTAAAATAGTATTTTTTTCACTTGGTTTATTCGTCTGTACTATCCTTATGACGTAATTTCCTTTCACCTCTACAAAAGAAATCGCATCCAATGAAATTGCGGAAGCCAGGGAAATGGCAGCTAGAGCATTGCTTGAGCTTTCCGCTCGAGCTTATTGAAGAGGTACATTATTTTGATTGTTTTGCCACTCTTCTTGTGTTGGAAATCTCATGTTATTGCACCTTAAATCTTAATATCAGAAATAATGTGAGTATTTGCACACGTTATAAGTCTAGGAATATCATTTTCATTGGTATTTAGTTACCTTCAGGTATTATATATCATTTCCTATCTTGTTCTAGGAATCAATAGCAACTCTCTATAACTTAGCAATTGTTACAAAAACTCTACTTACGATAGTTTCTTAGGTCTTGGTAACATCATCCATAAATGGATCACCAGATCTAGCAAAATCCAAAAAGGGTTGTACTCCATAACGTAATTTTCAACTAACTTAGAAGATGGAGGTGGAATATCCCTATGAAGACGTACAAATCTGTTTGCAATTCTCAACTATATTTGTTTGTTTCTTTATTTTAGATTATGGATTTTAACTTTTAAGGCTAAACTCTGCTTGCTTATTTTAAGAATTTGGGGGAGAAGGAGTTCTGTGTCTTATCTTATACTTCAGAATTGTGTTATACTGCATGGTAACCTTTCTTTATGTTAGGGAGATGGATATAGTACAGTTTTTCATAATTATAGAAGGGAAGTTTGTGCTATGCTTTGTACATTGTAGTATCTGCAATGAGCTTAAGAAGACAATAGAATTTTACTTTCTCTCTCTTGGCTGTTCACGTTAAATACATAATATTTTCAATCTTTTCGTATGCCTTTGTGCTAAGTGTAACACGACCTCAACTTGAAGTAAGAGTTTTACATATACTGGGTTTGGCAATTCTACCTAACCTGTGTCTATCTATTAGGAAGGTTTAGCTCCTCTTTTCTCAATTTTATTTTCCAATGTTTGAGAAGGAAAGAGTATCAGATATGGCAAATTTGTGGTGAACTGGATTATGTGCAGACGTGCTGGGTGATATCAAATAAGCATTATTGACATTTTTTTCTTCTATTTTAGGGACTAGTGTTCTGCAGGTCACTCATTTGATTATAGAATAGATCGGTAAGTTCTATTTATCTGGTCTCTGTGTATAGCACCAAAGGTGCAATTCAACAGAGTAGAGTGTGGTATACATCATTTTCTCCTTTCCATATTTGATTTATACTTTACCTTTTGCAGGTGTGATCATTGCAAAACCTTGCTCCAATAAGTGGATTCCTGGCTAAGTGAGACTAGTCATAACTGAAAAACTGTGTACAGCAACCTCATTTCATATCCTGCTTTTTTTCAAACTTACGAATAGGTTGAGTCGGTGTCCAAACAAGAGGAAAATGTGGTGGTATTGCTAATCTTGGTGCGGACATCTCAAGGATCTCGTGGAGAAGTAAGTTATAGTTAATTTTTTGGGAGTGCTATGAGAGTCCTACTCGAGATTTTTTTCAAAAGTCAAATTTGGTCTCCAAACACTTTTTCTTTTCTACCCTAAGTTGCTCGGACTCGGGTCCAAATGTCCAATACGGGTGCGGATCTAGAGGTCGGATCCTTCATGATTTAAATTTTAAGATTCGGGGTACGGATCCAGGCACAGATACGGCTGCGGGGATTCGGCTAAAAATAATTGAAATATCTAACAATAGAGTTATAAAATAATGTCTAAATTATGAGACATTATTTGGTAAACTTACAAGGTATTCCGAGAAGGAGAAAATATTGATCAAGAGGAGAATCCAAGGAGATAAAAGGACTGACGTAGAAATTCTATACACAAGATATTCCATTTTCTTCAATTTCACCCTAACTTTTGTTTTGATTTTAGAAATCAATATATTTGTCCCGAATTTCTCCATTGATTTTGGTCAAAGTACCCAAAATTGGTTGAACAAATCTGGTACGGATCTTACACCCACGTCGTGTCGACACGGGTACGGCACTGAAAATGAAGAGTCGGAGCAACTTAGTTTCTACCCATGTTACAGAAATTCCTTTGTTGGCTCATATGTTTCCGTTGAATGTCTCCAAGAATATGCTTAGATTTGTTCAACAATGGTGTTTTTTCAGCCATTTTATACCTTATTTCGTCATAGTTATTAAAGTTCCTCTGTGTTTGTGTATGCATGTGTATTGATTTTTAAGGAAAGAACTTTGTGCGGTTGCCAGCCCTTGTTACTTGTTGAAGATATTCCTTTATCATACTCGCGTCCTCGTTAATAAGGACGACGCATTAATGATATTAGACAAAATAGATAGGCGAAATATGTATTTTATAGCATCATGTGACAGTATTTAGCTAAGGGAGTGTAGGTCCAATTGCCAACATCAAGTAAATAAAAGTGCTACATTACATCTAAAGTCTTATGGAGCTATAAAAGCTTACAGGACAGGTATAGAAAAGAGAGACAAGGTAAGTGATGGATTGCATTATTTGCTTACCTTAGAAAGGTTGTCTGTACCAATTTGTTCTTTACAACTTATAAGTATGGATAAGTATTTTAGGGTGTGGGAGTTATCCCATAGCTTTATATTCGCTACTAGAAAATTATGCTTTATCTATCAAACTGCTCTGCTGTTGCTATTTATTGTGCCTTTGTTCACAATGTGCAAAGTCCCCTTCCACCTCACCTATCTCTCTCTCTCTCTCTCTCTCTCTCTCTCTATGTATGTGTATATACACACTCACACACACATATATAGAGATATTTCTTCACTCTCATGCATATTGAAGCTGATATAAAATTGTACTTATACTAAGTAGGTAGGGTGTAAGTGGCTATTCCAATTTGAAATTCTTCTCAAATGCCAACAAAGCTGGTGAAGATTATGATGGTGTCGAGGCTTAGATGACTTTGTCAGCTTCATTAACGAGAAGTGTGGCACTAGTTTTGATCCAAAAGGACGACTTACTTCTAAGGTTAGTAGCAACCAAATAGACGATTGATGACATAACATTTATCATTCGAGAAAGGAGCTTTTTATGCCAAGAATGAAATCCATGCATTACTTCTAAAAAATGTTGCCCTCCTACCCTCTTGATATCAGCTTCTTAAATGTTACACAATTTTGATCAGTTGACATATCGAAGGAGATTTGTTGTTTTAACTCTGTGAAGCAGAAACTGAGCTCTTTTTGTATTTATTAATGATGCAATTGTCTGATGAGTTCACTCTCAAGATAACATTTCCATCGTTGATTACGTCGTGGCTTGTAAAATCTGCACTTGGCGTCCTGGAGTTTTGCTTAACGTCAAGGAATATACAATCTGATCACTTTTCTGTAGCACATTTTGTACACACAAGTATGTGCTCGGCTGAGAACCAACAGGAAAAATGTATCTTGGAAGTTAGGTTAGTTCTTATGGTTCTTTATTCAGTCTGTTGGTTCTTCATAAAAAATGATGCCCTGCCACATTTAAGTATCTTATCCCTAACCGGAAGCGTCAATAGCGGAGGGTTTATTGGCTGAAAAGTACTTGACTTTTTGTTCGAGATACCTACATGATGACGTGAAAACAAGATTCAGTAGGTATCAAACTGAAGATGATAAGTGCCTTCAAAATTTATCACCTATAATTCCTTAGATAAACCATCCAATTGGAAGTAAGAAGAAAAAGAAAGGCAAGACTTTTTTCATGGATTTGTAGTTATCTTATGAAATAGATCATCAGTACCGGACATGAACATGTGGAAAATTTTATCAAGTAAGATAATTATATAACTAGGGAATTTGCTGCGATTATGATAAAACATCATTAAATTTAGAAATAATTTTTTTATATATGTGATGACCCAATATGTCATCTTTAAATTTAATATTCATTTAGGTGTTTTAAGATCTCGAATAGCACATTTCAATATTTCTCGACTTACGTGTGCAGTCCGTATATTTTTTCGGAAAGTTTTTATGTGAAATTTATTTTTTGATAAAAATGTGAAATAGATCTTCAAAACTCATTTGAGTTGATTTCGGTCAACATTTTGAACAAACAGACTCAGATCAGTATTTCGACAGTTCCGGTAGGTCCGTATCGTGATTTAGGACTTAGGTGTATGCCCGAAATTTAATTTGGAGGTCCCTAGCTCGAGTTATAGCCAATTATTGAAAAGTAGAAGTTTGAAAGATTAAAGATTTCACAGTTTGACCACAAATTGACTTTTATCGATAACGAACTTGGAATGAGATTCCGAGAGTTGTAATAGCTCAGTTATATCATTTATGACTTGTGCGCCAAATTTGAAATTATTCCGGATTCATTTAATACGTTTCGGCACGAGTTTTTATAATGTGAAAAGTTTGAAACTCATAAGTTCGAATCGAGGTGTGAATTATAATTGTCCGCGTTATGTTACGGAACTGGTTGGTATAATTGTATGTGGTCCCGAGTGGCTCGGGTGAGTTTCAGATATGCTTCAGACTATTTTGGTAAACAATTTGCAGGTCTGGTTCTGGTATTTCACACCTGCGCAATTTTGGCCGCAGGTGCGTGATCGCTTCTCCGGAGGCTGTGTTGCTTCTGCAACTTTGAGGCCAGGGGAGAAACTTCACTTCTGCGAAGCATGGGACGCAGGTATGCGTCCGCTTTTGTGTTGCCATGATCGCAGATGCAATCGTCCTCGCTTTTGCAGCTTCCTTCGCGCTTCTACACAGTCGCTTCAGCGACGTGAAGGTCCGCAAATGCGGTTCTCTGCTTGGCTGCCTTGTTCCGAAAATGCGAGCTTTGTCTTGCAAATGTGAGTCCGCAGATGCGAAAATGCTGGACAGAACACATAGAAATCGGGTGTTAGCCATTTTTACTTATTTTTGAGTTTTGGGTGGACAGAACACATAGAAATCGGGTGTTAGCCATTTTTACTCATTTTTGAGTTTTGGGTCTCAGATTTGGGCGATTTCAAAGGGTTTTTTCTCATCATTTTTACTCATTTTAACAACTAACTCAACAAATAACTAATTAATTGGTAACAATGCCGCTTGACATGTACAATAACTAACACTCTAGTAATACACAGTATTCCCAAAACCCAGAACATCATAAGTCACAAGCTACAGAGGAAAACTAGTATCTCTATACACCAGAGTCTAATAAAGAAGTACTGAAGGTAAATGGCATATGAGAGAATAGAGGGGGAATCTGAGGTCTGCGGACGCGACAAATGTACCTTGAAGTCTCCGTACAACAACAAGCACTCTCAGCTAATAGCAGGGTTGATAAGAAGCACCTGGATCTGCACACAAAACATGTGCAGAAGAGTAGCACGAGTACACCACAACGGTACCCAGTAAGTGCAAAGCCTAACCTCGGTCGAGTAGTGATGAGGTAAGGTCAGAGCCCACTGGTATATAATACATAAAGCAGGAAAATGTAGCAATATAATAAGAGACTGGAATTTAACAAAAAGGAAAACACAACAAAATTGCAGTACATCACACAGGGGTTAAGCAGCAGAGGATCTTCCGAGATACCGTCTCGTAGTCTCAATGTAAATATGCAAAGAGATCTCCTGAGGAACCACCTCGTAGTCTTAAAAGTAAATGTACAGGGAGAACTCCCGAGGTATCGCCTCGTAGTCTCAAAAGTAAATGTGCAGGGAGAACTCTCGAGGTACTGCCTCGTAGTCTCAAAAGTAAATATGCAGGGGAACTCCCGTGGTACCGCCTCATAGTCTCAAAAGTAAATATGCAGGGGAACTCCCGTGGTACCGCCTCATAGTCTCAAAAGTAAATACAGCTCAAACCGATAAATACAACAGTTAACAGCAAGAATTCTACAGTTAAGGCTGATAAAGATCAAGGAGAAACAAGAAAATCAACTAGACATACTGCATAGAGTTCAAATAAACAGTTAAAGCACGTAGACATACGATATTAGACTAAACATGATAACTACACATGCTGGTATAACTCAATTAAGATGAAAACATGTTACTACTCAGTAAAAATTGGGTTTTACCATAAATAGCCCGTGTACGCACTTGTCACCTCACGTACACGATGCTCACATATCACAACAGTACCAAATCCTAAGGGGATTTCCCCCACACAAGGTTATGCAAGCCACTTACCTTGAACCAAGCTCAATCAATCCGTAAGAATTCTTTTTCCTCGATTATCTGACTCTGAATGACCCAAATCTAGCCAAATACAATTACATATCATAAATACAACTATAATAGACTAAGCTAATTAATGAAATCAAGACTTAAACAAGAAATTCAAAAATCGCCCTAAAAAGTCGACCCGGGCCCACATCTCGAAATCAGACAAAAATTACAAAATTCGAAAGCCCATTCACTCACGAGTCCAACCATACCAAATGTATCAAAATCCGACCTCAAATGACCACTCAAAACCCAAAAATTACTCCCCAAATCCCTAGCCTCAAACCCCCCAAATTACACCTAAAAAACACACCATCTAGGTAAAAGATCATTAGGGAAACATAATTATTGGAGAAAGATGAACACAAGGAGCTTACCTCGAGAACCCCTTTGAAAATCCTCTCAAAAACCTCCAAGCTCCGAGCTCAAAATGTTAGAAATGGTGAAAAAATCTCGAAGTCTCGCATTTATGGGTTCTGACCAGGTCTTCCGCACCTACGACAACTTGGCTGCTTATGCGCTCTCGCAGGTGCGCCCCAGATCCCGCTTCTGCGCAAACCGCATGTGTGGAACAACCCTCGCACCTGCGCCATTCTCCGCATTTGCGCCCAAAATCCGCTTCTGTGCAAACCGCTTCTGCGCGTGCATGTCCGCATCTGCGGCCTCTGTCCAAAGCATCCCTGGCCTCTTATGCGGTCCCTTTTTCTTGCTTCTGTGAGCTCGCATCTGCAGTTCCCAGTCATAAGATGCGATTACACCAGCAGCCCTCAAACTTCAGCAGCATTTCAACTTCAAACCTTGATCCGTTAACCACTCTAAATCAACCCGAGACCCCCCGAGAACTCAACCAAACATACCAACAAGTCTTATATCCCAATACGAACTTATTCAAGCCTTTAAATCACATCAAACAACACTAAAACACGAATTACACATTGATTCAAGCCTAATAAACTTCAAAGTTTCAAACTCCCACAACCGATGCCGAAACCTATCAAACCACGTCCAATTGACCTCAAATTTTGTACACAAGTCATATTCGACATTACAGACCTACTCCAACCCGCAACCGAAATCCGACCCCGATATCAAAAGGTCCACTACCGGACAAACTTCCCAAAAATTTAACTTTCGTCATTTCAAGCCTAATTTAGCTACAGACCTCCAAAACACAATCCGGACATGCTCCTAAGTCCAAAATCACCCAACGGAACTGACGAAACTCCATTTCGGAGTTGTCTTTACATAGTTCCAACTACGGTCAAAATCCTAATACTAAGCTTCTATATTAGGGACCAACTGCCCCAAATCACTCCGAAACCACAACAAAACCTCCCGGCAAGTCACATAAGCAGAAAAGGATACAGGGAAGCAGTAAATAGGGGATCGGGGCTAGTACACTCAAAACGACCGACCAGGTCGTTACACTACTTGACATTTAGCATATTAAATATTAAATTACCTATTTTCTCCCTTAAATTGCCTATTTTCTCCCTGATTTTCACAATTAATCGCTACTTGTCATTCATTGTTTCCTAAATAAATCATAATTATTGTATGCTTTGTTGCCTAATAATTTCTTATTAAATGTGATATTTATTAGAGTATTTTTATGTAACGACCCGACCGGTCGTTCTGAGTATTACAACTCCGTTTCCCTATTTACTGCTCAATTTATGCTTTACTGTTATTTTATGACTTACCAGGTTAGTTGGTTCGGGCCTGGAAGGATTTCAGAGTGAATTAGGACACTTAGTCTTATAATTTAAAACTTAAGTTGGAAAAGTTGACCGGATGTTGACTTATGTGTAAAGCACCTCGTATTTGAATTTTGATGGTTCCGTTAGTTCCGTTGGGTGATTTTGGACTTAGGAGCATGTCCGGATTGTGATTTGGAGGTCCGTAGTGGAATTATGCTTGAAATAGCAAAAATTGAATTTTAGGAAGTTTGACCGAGGAGTTGACTTTTTGATATCGGGGTTGAAATCTGATTCTGAAAATTGGAATAGTTCCGTTATGTCATTTATGACTTGTGTACA